GCGGCGTTTCGAGGCGGAGTACCTGCCAGGTGAGCCGGGGCGGGCGGCGAGCGGGGGACGCGGTCCTTCGGGCTTGTCCGCTATCGCTTTTCCCCTCTGTGTGTCAGGTGCCTCCTTTCCCAGGTGACTGGGTGTTTGTGCCGTTGCACAGAATCAGTTAGGTTGGAAAGACCTCCGACATCATCGAGGCCAGCCTAAGGCTGAGCACCCCCTTGTCAACCAGACCATGGCACTGGCTGCCCCGTCTGGTCTTTATCCTTAAACAGCTGCAGGGACGGCGACTCCACCACCTCCCTGGGCAGGCCATTCAAATATCTAATCGTTTTTCTGTGAAGAATTTCTTCCTAATGTCCAACCTAATCCTCCCCTGGTGCAGCTTAAGGTGCCCAAAGCTGTAGACGGGGATGGTGCACAGTGGATTTCTGTGCTGGCTCTCAGTGCTCTCTGTGGTGGTGGGTTGCTGTCTTGGGCTTCAGGACCTGTCCGGGCAAAGCTCTCTGTCCTTTTACCTTCCTTCTGGCTGTAGGGTGGTGTCTGGGACACTGGTGTGCTTGGTGCTTTTTGGATATAAAACATGGATGGGAAGTGGGAAGAGAATTCTGTCCTCGACGAGTTTGTTAAGGGAAGAGTTGCTTTTCTGGAGTAACTTGCACTTGAAATTCATGCAGGCCATGATTAAGATCATGCTTGTGTCATGCGGGGTGTCCTGCTTGGTTCTTAAGTGCAGGTGCATTTAAACTTGTAAATGAAGGCCAGGAGATGGTGGGGATGCCTAGGGGAGAGGGAAGACTGGGGTAAGCCTGACGAGATGTCCTTTCATTTCAAGGTTGATTTACATTGCTTATGATGGAAGAATATATAGTAGTAGAGTATGCTAACAATTGTAGTAAGCAGTACGTTTTATTATGACATTCTAGAGACTTTTCATTAAAGGCAAGCTTCTATCTAATTTTTAATGCAAATACAGTAAGAGTCCAGTAGTTGTGTTACCTGCATCTCCTTTAATATCCTCAATCCTGCAAACACAGGCCTTACTTTGGTGCTTTTGATCAGAATTATTGAGGTTATGTCGCTTTCAGTTTTATGTAAGAGTTACATGTTTCTATGACTTCTTTGTAATTGGCCAGAACACTTTTCTGGAAACCTTGAGGGTGGTACAACTTTGTCTCATATGGTTGTTCTGCTAACTTTCATAAAGGAGTCTACTTTGGCTTTGGTTAGGAATGACTTATTTTTCTGCCAAGATGACAAAATTATTAGAAAGTCTTGAAGCAGAGAGAGCTTCTATTACCATTTGAAATTCATATTTCCAAATGAATAAAGGTGTCTTTGGAAAGCTCAGGCTAAGGTGAGTGGAAGATTGTCTGAAATTCTAGATTCTTTTGGCTCTTAATCTTTTTAGTTAGTGTATATTTTCATATGATAGATGATTCAACTTGCTTTATATTCTTTTATCCCAGAGTCATGCTCATAAGTAGTTACTTCAGAAAACCTAGAACTGCTTTGGGACGGTTGCTGTGGAAAGGGAGTATTACCCTTTCAGTTGACCAATCCCTTAAAATCTTGGAATTCCACAAGTTTCTCTAATTGTGGTGAAGCCTCTGTTGGGCTGGTTGATACAGCCATTAAAATAATTGAATACTGTTGCAAGGTAAGCCCTAATCCTATTTGTAGTGTTTTGAACACGTTTTTCTCAGTAAGCCCATTTTTGGGTCACGGTCTGGGGCTCTTAGCCCTTTCAAGCAAATAGGATTAGGACTTTTTTGAGTTTATGTTATTAAGACTCTGCCTGAAATTAAGGAATTCCAGAAGCAATTTAACATTGTTGCCCCACTTCCAAGTGAGGAAAACACAGGATTTCAGTTTTATAGTGATCCTTCAGCCTTTACTGCGTGTTCTTAAATGTATTCTTTTATGCTTCTTGGTCAAACATGGAGGTGCATGTATGCAGACACCCCCAAAACTGTGAGTTTGTGGTGTATGGGTACAAATGGTTGCTTCATATCTAGGAGTTTTAATCTGCTTTCAAAACTAAGGGCGTGTTTACGCTACACTGAGAACCTGATCATTCCTGTGGAAGTTTAGAGTGGTCATAGAATTGTGGGCCTCTACAGAGCAGACTTTATTCCATTTACAGGTGAGCTGCAGGTGTTAAAGGTTTGAGTAAAGTTTTCAGGCAGTTGTGTTTCTGGAGGTTGGAGCTGTCACTGTTTCATTTTCCCTCTGAGGAAAATAGTGTAACTGGTTATTCTAGGAACTTGGTGATTCTGATCATCAAATATGGTGAAGTAATTAATCTGCATTCTGTAACTCATAGTTACTGGTTTCCCTCTTCACTCTCTCATGCAGGAAGAATTAGTAATGGTCACAAATGCTGTGATGGCCTTACAGTAATGTTTAGTTTTGTTGTGAAATGAAAACTTAGGGGGCCATTGAAATCACTTATTGGCAGAATGCTATTTTTACATTAAAGTAGAATCTACAAAACTATATTACTATATAGCTGATTCAGAAAAGTCTAATATTGCAACATGAGTTGAGTGTTATAGTTTGATATTTCACATAAAAGTTACAACCAAATAATATGCTTTGGCCTTGATAATTTTCAAGGTAGGATGGGAAGAGTTGTGTTCAACAGTTGAAAGCACCATAAATCTGTTTTTTGAATTATACAGTTGTTTCACTTATGTGACTAAATCAGAAAACTGTTTTGATAGTTGAATACAGTGTGGAAAATAGAGTGTCAGAGAACCTTACTGACTCGTTTCCCCAAAGCTCGCACAAGAACTTTCTTGCTGAAGTTCTTGAGTAAATTTGGCTGCTCAGGGATTCTAGAAGGAAAGTTTGGCCACTGTTGGATCTTATCTGCAAAGCAGTGTTTAATATTAACTGGGATCGTGTGGTGGTTTTTTTCTTTTTATTCAACTTTATAGCTGGGTTAGAAAGACAACTTCAGTTCTTGTGAGGAATGTATGTCCCATTAAATTAAAACTCTTGCATTTTCACTTCCAATAGTGAAAAGTTCCTTTCAGTCCAGTAGACTAACAAACGCTGTCTGATGTGGTAGGTAGACAGTGCTTTGTCTTCACAGTTTTTGGGCCTAATTTCTGTTTTGTCTGTTTGGATTCTTTGTGAGAGTTAGTGATGTAAATGATTCTGGTAGTGAAAGGAACAATGAAAACAAAAGATTATTTTCTAGTACTGACTGGTACTAACAGTGTTTTCTAGCAAACAATCATGTCTTTTTCTATAGTGAATTTTCATTCCTTAGAAGATTTCTAAAATTAGCTTCTATATCTAGGCTATTACTTTCCATTTTAATGTTACAATGGAAATTATTTATAATCAAATCTTGTTACATCTTTCCAGTCCACAGATTTTCTTTGCATTTGCTTTTGCATATTTACCATTTCTAGTTGCCTGTATTTCCTGTCCTCCCTATTTACATCCTTTTACTTTCTCCTATAGGCAAAGCTTAATTTTCAGAAGATTTTGCAAGAGAGGTTTCCCACTTCAATTTGAAGAATTAAATTTCATCATGACTTTCTTTAAACCAGTACCAAATGAGTTTTGTTAATCATATTGTCTGATTGCAAATAAAATTTTAGACATATGGTGCATCCCTAAAAAAAGCTCGTGATAGGACTATTGTAAAAGACTCTTAAAGTAATGTTTTACATACCTGCTTGTGTGGTTTAATGCTCTGAAAAATGTGTTTTCCCTGGTTCTTGACTTTCAGGTTGAGGATGGTGGAAGGATGAGATAGGAAACATACTTTTATAAAAAGCTCTGTAATATTAATGACTGAGCCTTCTATTAAAAGTAGTCTCTATTGTCACTGAAAGTGTTCAGTTTTGCTACAAGTTTATCTCATTTTGTGGAGGCAGATATTTTTTTATTTCTGTTTGTTATTGAAATAATTCTTTATTGGACTGAAATAATTGTTTTCTTTATCCCTGTCCCTTTATGGCTACTGATCTTCTTAAATTGT